ACCCTCACTGAACAATTTTAAGACCAGTATCCCACCTTTACTACATCACTTTTCAGTCAGGTTACTCAGGTCCAGATGACTCACGGCTCTATACTAACATCAAGCATTTGGCGATTCTCAACATATGGGGTTTCTTTTCCCAAAACGCATTACCAATTCTGACTTTAAGTTCTTCTATCTTTCTTAGGATAAACTGAGTACTTAAAATGTATCACAACAGATTATTAAAAAGTTACTGTATTAAGTTATGAAATAATGCAGTATTCATAGTTTTAGATCAGAAGAGATCAGAAAAACTCCATCAAATACCACCTTTGCAACAAACCTTATCAAACCATCTTAAGCCAACATTTCATTATAAAGCAGCAAGTAAAAAAGGAATAATACTACAAAGAGAATAACTTCCAGCAAGCTGTATGATTATCTTCATAATACTAACAGGTTCCAATAATTTTTCTCAGCAGAATTTTGGAAGGGTATGAAAATCTTGGGCAATATATATCAACTTAAGAGTTGTACTCTGCTTTTGCTGGAGCTGATCTGAATAATTTCTACTTCAATGCAGGATTTAAAATTCACTGCATGATATTGCAATTACAGTAAGATTTACTTCACTGCATTGTAAAATAAAACATGCCTTTTTAGCATGGAGTTCTCATTAGCTATGTGCTAACACAGCATCTGAAAATCTGCTCTCGGGCAATGGAGACAGAAGAAGAAACTGGCAGTAGTCAAACAGTGGTTTTCTTTATTCAGTAGCCTCACTGGAGACTACTGAGAATCAGTAGGGAGACTTTACCTACTGCATTCTCTCCAGGTACTCCTGAAAGGTAATGCTTGGGGTCATAAACCAAGTTTAGAAGCTCCTTACTTGACTAGCAGCTTACTATTAAAACATGCCTTTACCGGATGCATCCCACTTACTGTGCATATGCTATGCAGATGACCAGCAAATGCTCCACAAATTAGATGGTGTGGCTTGCTGTGCAGAGAACTCTACAAGAAATTACACTGATTCTGGATCTCACACCATGTGCTCTCTAGCTTAAAGACATCACACCACGTGCCCAGGGAGTTGAGATTACTTGAGTCTATCTAGAAACCAGCACATCTGACATACCACAGGAGTGCAGAAGGCATGTGCATACCCACTGTTCAGGCCCATTAAGAGTCCTAACAGAGTGTGAGGAGTAGAAGCTAGAAATCAGAAAATATGAGCACAGGTAAGTGCACAGCAAGAGTGAAATAAAAGTCCAACTTTTATTAGGAACACAAACTGCATGCAAAAAATATAAAAACACATTTTAAAAAAAGCATATAAAAACAAGTTTATTTTTCAACAGTCTTAGTATTTTCCAGCTGGTAACTTCAGTTGTTACAGAGAAAGAGCCATAACTACCGAACAAGAAGAGGAAATCTCTATGAGAAGTTCTCCATTAACAAAATGTTTTAATACTGTTCTGGGTTTCACTGGGATAGAGTTATTTTTCTTCACAGTAGCTAATATGGAACTATGTTTTGGATTTGTGCTGAACGTTATTTTTTTATCAATTTTTTTATCAATTGGAAGAATAAGTTTTAGAAAGCAATAATAAATCTAAATTATTCAGTAAATAAATACTGTTCTACACAAAATAGAAGCATGTACCTCCCAAATAATGCTTTTTAAAACACTAATTGGGGGTTTCTTATTAGTAAGTAGCCACCACAACTTACTGAGATTTTTACCTAGTAGTATGTGTGTCACAACGAATGAAAAAACAGTTGTCAGAATATGCTTTTCTGCATTCAGAGAAACTATTTATTATATGTGTTTACTTGGGCAATAGTACCAGCTGCTTATCTGAAAAACAGGAGAACTCCTTAAAAACTATTCCAGTAGCTTTTTTCCCTATATTAAAAGGCATGTTCTTTAAATGTAAGAAATAAGCTTATCTTGTCATGGTCATTGGTCATATTTTATTAGACAACTGTAAAACACATCTTTGTTAAAATATTTGTTATGATCTCTGAGTCCTCAGAAGAAACTGTTTTTCAACAGTTTACTGGAATCTCTTAACTTGATATAAGAATCATGTGTAGCTTAATTTTAAAAAAACATTAAAACTCTTACCCTGTGTTTTCCATCTAGTGGATAAAGCATCCTAAGTCCATGTTATCATCAACAGTACCACCACAAAATTACGGTTACAGTAACAAAAAAAACCCCATAAATTCTGTCTTTTCAGGCCTTCTCCTTTCTCAATTTGACTGTTTTTTATATTAGATGCCTGAGAACCTAGAAGGACTAGAGTAACCTCATCCCAACCAATTGTAGATGCTTACAGGATGTTCCCCCCCTTCCTGCCTGTAGTGATTCCTGCAGAAAGACCTGCAGGATAAGACTGAGAAGAGACCTGGTGCCTGACATCCCAGCCAATGGCAGGGAGACAGGATGTATTTTTTCCACACATGCATCCCTTAGAGAGAATTTACACTATATACATACACATTACTTTAAGATATTACCCTCATTTCTTAACAGGTTGTAGATTGCAAAAAACATAACAAAGTCTCTCTGTACTGGAGTAACCTGGACACAGATGGGTGGGACACAGCGAAATCAGTATGACCAACAGCAAGTAAGTGAATAGTAAGTAAATGATGGTTCTCTTTCATAACATATATAATTTCTCATCTACCTTTTCACTTTGGCTATGTACCTGCAACATGCTCTGCTACCTTACTTACTATTTCAGTTAAGCCTTGCTACATCACCCATCTTGAAATTTCTTTATCGATGTGATTCTTACTTTAGGACACGTCAGTTGTTATGTTAACACACACACCAAGGAAAGGGATCTACCTACAAAGGACAATTGTCTTTCACAACTCACTTTATTTCTCTGTTATCTGTTGGAAACATCTGAGTTACTTCTGCACGTAACAATGGATGCACAGATGCTTAAATGTGCATTTGCCTCCTTCTCTATTGTTTATAATGATGGCTTTATCCAGATGCATAGTTTTTAATCCCATTTACATTTGCATCAAAGGAAAAGATTTCTTTGCAGAGACAGCTTATGACAGAATCATTAAAAGAGGAGCACCTCTTAAAGTGCTAAGTTTCAAAATATATTTCTAATACCTGAACAAATTAAGAATCTGAATTGAAATCTGAATCTGAAATGAAAAGCAGAATTAGCTGCTACTGAGCCACACCATAGCAACCTCAAAAGAGATAGTACGTGCATAGCCTACATCTATTTGGGATATAAAAACAGTAGAAAAAGTGCAAACATTAAACAGAACTCAGAAAACACAGGAGAAATTCCACATTTTATGGAGATGTTTTTAATTTTTTCCTCAGGGAAAATCTGTCTGACATTTATTAATTAGCTCCCTTCTCAGCCATACATTTACAGAATACAATTCTAAGCTAAAACATGCCATTTTTAGTTATTAAAAAGAATGTCAGAGTTAAACTGCTTGAAAACCTTCAAGCGTAAACATATTTAAGACAAACACACGGACAAAAGCAGATACTGAGAAAGCTAAGTGCTAGGTGTAAGTCAACAAGCCTACCACTATTCTGTTCTTCAAAGGGCAGCACTAAATACCAAATCAGAGCACTAATAATTATTATTTTAGGAAATCTCATCCAAACTTCCCATTAAAAAACAGAAAACAAGTAACATCAGAATCACTGCTTCTCTGAACTGATCTAAGTGTTTTGTCTTTCCTCTGCCAACATCTTCAGAGTTGGCATCCTTATTATTTCTAGCCAATTTTGTCAGTCTCACGGTGGGCCAGCCAAAGTATAAAGAATATGGGAAAGTGTGATGGCTTGAACACAGTGAAGTGTTTACGAGGGCAGGAAAGCACAGAAGCTAGCCAGAGGACTGACAGACCAGCAAAATGGATGACAGCTATTAAGTTTCTTGCAAATTCAAAGACAGAAGGATTTTTGTATAGACTTGGACTGCAAAACAGGCATGAGTACGGTCCTCAACTAATTTGTTCTCGAATTGTATTAGTATGTTTAAAAAACTTGTCTTAGGCTCTGAAAACCTTGAACCAGAATGAGAAAGGTGTTAAAAGATCAGAATACATTTTTATCTTCAGAGATGTTTGGAGACTCTGATTACTAAAGAATGCCTTAAAACCCAGGACACTGCTTTTAGCTTCCATTTTAATAAAGTTAATCACATGTACAAATATAATAATCTAATATAATCTAATTGAATAAAGGCAGAAAATTCCAATAGGTCAAAGATTTCATCAGTGCTCTTGTACTAAATCCAGTACTTAAGAACAATAAACAATCTAAGTCTTCATGAATGAAACGGTTCTTAAAACAGCTTGCTGTATAATTTTGAAGACCAATTCAGTGATATATAAAACAAATACAGTGTTGCATACTAAGCAGTACTAAAGGCTACCAAACCCACACATTTTCCAGCTGCTGAGAAAATCAACAAAGAGGTAAAATTGCCCAAAAGCTGTTATCACATCCTAACAATCTGAAATTCTCTCCAGCCATTGTTGAGTAACATAAACTCAAGATTCAAAAAAGATCAAGAGCAACCCATAAACTGAACAATATATTTTGGTAAAGAAAAAAATTCTTCTATTACTAAAGATGACCCAAATATCAGTTATTAAAATCGAAACATTACCCAGGCAGGAAGTTTCTTTGAATACAGGCACCTTAACATTCACTATATATCTCTATTGTTAAAAGAAGTACCATGCAATACCTTGTCAGGAGGAAAATGAAGACAGAACTGAAATACCTTTCAGCGAATTCCATTATCTTGAATGGCTACAGAAAAGCTCACAACAGATTTGTGGAGCTCACTCCACTCCAAAGCTAGTACAACCTAGTATTTCCAAAGATTTGTACAAAGGTTACTTTTGAGATCAGTCATAAGAATGCAGATAAAGAGAAACTGAAAACAATACACACATAATGGAAAAAATACCTACGAAAATATGCTGAAAAATGTGGGAAAAATTACCTGGGACAAGTTCCATAACAATATAAATAGGCTGTCGTTGTGTGCAAACTCCTATAAGTTTTACAATATTAGGATGATCATACTGTTTGAGTATTCTGCAAAACACAAAGTAAGTTTATTACATTAACAAACTTCATTGTACAAACTGATTAAATGTTACAGAAACATATCTTAAACCCTAATTGTTCTTTTAATGGAAGATATCATCACTGTCATCATAAAGAAAAAAAATCAATTTAACAGATAATCATTCTGTTTGAAATGGAAGGCATACTGATTCACTAATAAGACAGAACACTGTATTATTCTTATTGTAATTTTATCATTTGTCTACATAACATTTGTCTATATAACTGAAAAGTGGTCTGAGAGGTTTGCAGTTTCTCAAGTACCCTTTTAATTAAATAGCATTTCAGTGGTGGACCAGAAGCAGAGCTACATCAAAAAATCATACACAGCATGCCCCTATACTTCCCTGCTGCACTTTTGAAATGCACACTCATTCCAATTTTACTTTAAGAGATTAATACAATAACTTTTAGAAGAATATAAGGACAGCAATTTTAATATTGGGAATTAAAAAGAAACACATTTACATCTTCTTACAGAATAATAGAACATTTGCAGCTTAAAACAGCGTGCTAGGATTTATAAGTGAAATGAAGGGCAAGGAAAAATTATACGGAGACTCTGTAACTGAAATGTTTCTTCTACTATCTGCTGACTTAAAGCACTTAATCTTTTTCCCTCTTCTTCTAGGATCAAGATTAAAATACTAACCTACCTTGTACATACATGTTTAGTGAGAAATAACATGTCATATTATTTCAGACTAACACTGCTCCATTAGTGGCAGGCTGCTTAACAAATGAAACATCTCTGCAGTTGCCAAGCTACAAGCTCTCCAAAATTAATCAATAGATATAGTGGCTGATCTTCATTCTCTAAATGTAGATAGTAACTTTTACTTTTTCATATTGATCATACTAGTTTGGGAGTAAAAATGAAAACATATGAAGATTCATTGCAAGAGGGAGCAAGTTAATTTAAACAATTGTGAATTTATGTCAATACGCTCCTCTACCCTGAGGCTTCAGAACCTATGTATCTACATTAGCCTATATTCAGAATACTTAGCATATTGTGGCATGATTGTCATTTGAAAAATAAGTATGCAATCACATGCCACCTGACACAGCATAAAATATCTCTACTGGAGTGAACTCTTCTTACAAAGAGAAAATTACTAAATGGGATCTATGCAGTAACCTATCCGTATTTATCAGCACTATTAGTCATGCATGTAAGGTAGGACTGGTATAACCACATTTAAATTAACAGCATCTTCCAGTCTTCTTATCCCAGTCCTCGTGGCACATCTCAGAAGAAGTTCTAAATAGAAGCACTTACAACAACGGAATTGTGTTTTCAAGGCATACCTTGCTTTGCCAAAGAGGTAGTTTCAGCAAGTGTTGCATCCACTATTGCATTCACATGTTAAAAAAGGAAAGAGTTTGAGTACTGCTTCTTTGAATTTCTCTGAAGGTCAGATTTTATAAATCCATCTAATCATGAAACTTGAATAAAACCCCACAACAAGTATATATTTCAATTAAATTTAGAGAACCTACCTGGCTTCTGATAGAAATTTTATTTTCAGTTCCTGAGGAAGATCTTCTTTACAAGTTTTTACAGCAACAGGAGTTTTATCCTTTAATGTCCCCTTATACACCTCACCAAAATTACCCTGAAATGAAAAAAAAAAATTCTAAGTAAATAAAATCGTCATGAATCTCAAGAAAAATAACGCAAACAGCTAATGTAGCTGGTATGGAACTTTGAAGTGTGTTTATGAAGCCAAATGAGGTTTTCTTCCACCATCTGCCCCTAACACAATGCAGTTCACACAGTTCACACAAATATAGTACACCTATTACGTGGACACAGCATATGAATTCTACTTTGACCTTGCTGAAAGAGAAAAAAATACATTAATTGTGTAATTATAATTTTCTCATAAAACCTCTTAGTTAGCAGTATTTTTTTTCTTATTCTCACTCCTGCACTGCATCATTTTCACACTATTGCATTTTACCAATAGTTTTTATCTTGCAGTTTCTAACAGACCAAAAGATGTTCTCTGAAATGAGGACAAAAAACATCAAAATAACGTAAACATTCTCCTATATAGGAGAAAGAAAAAAACACAAAATAAGAAAAATTAAAGCAGTATTAATTTTGATCATAAATGAAAACCTCTGCAAAAAAAAAAAAAAAAAAAAAACACACAAGGCACAAAACAGTGCCAGAAACCAGCATCGCACCCATCAACGCCAACCTCATCCGCAAATCCCCCTCCAAAAAAAAAAAAAAAAAAAGATGTTGTGACAGCCCTCAGAAATTTACATGATCCACCTCCCACTAGACCAGGTTGCTCAAATCCCCATCCAGCCTGGCCTTGAACACTTCCAGGGATGGGGCATCCACAACTTCCCTGGGAAACGTGTTCCAGTGTCTCACCACCCTCACAGAAAAGAATTTCTTTCTGGTATCTAATCTAAATCCACCCTCCCAGTTTGAAGCCGTTACTCCTTGTCCTGTCATAACATGTCCTTGTAAAAAGTCCCTTTCCAGCTTTCTTGTTGGCTCCCTTTAAGTGCTGGAAGGCTGCAATAAGGTGTCCCCAGAGCCTTCTCTTCTCCAACAGGAGAACTACCCCAACTCTCTCAACCTGTCCTCAAAGGAGAGGTACTCCAGCCCTCTGGTCATCTTCATAGCCCTTCTCTGGACCCACTCGAACAGATCCACATCCTTCTTATGCTGAGGACTCCAAAGCTGGATGTAATACTCCAGGTGGGGTCTCCAGGTGGGGAGAGCAAGTAGAGGGGGAGAATCACTTTCCTCAACCTGCTCACTATGCATCTTTTGATGCAGAATATATATGATTTTTAATATAACATGTTCCTTTCATATGCCTTTACTTTTGTGGGTGATTATAGAATTAATATCAAGTGCCAGGTTCTGCACTTGGGCCACAACAACCCCATACATTACTACAGGCCTGGGGAAGCGTGGCTGGAAAGCTGCCTGGCAGAAAAGGACCTGGGGGTTCTAATTGACAAGTGGCTGAACATGAGCCGGCAGTGTGCCCAGGTGGCCAAGAAAGCCAATGGCATTCTGGCTTGTACTAGAAATAGTGTGACCAGCAGAAGGAGGGAGCTGATTTGTCCCGCTCTACTCAGCACTGGTGAGGCCACACCTCGAGTATTGTGTCCAGTTCTGGGCACCTCAATACAAGAGAGATATCGAGGTGCTGGAGCGAGTGCAGAGGAGGGAAACGAAGCTGGTGAAGGGCCTGGAAAACAAATCATATGAGGAGCAGTTGAAGGAGCTGGGACTGTTGAGTTTGAGGAAGAGGAGGCTGAGGGGAGACCTCATCACTCTCTACAACTACTTGAAAGGACACTGTAGAGAGGTTGATGCTGGTCTCTTCTCACAGGTAATTAGTGACAGAACGAGAGGGAACGGTTTCAAGCTTCAACAGGGTAGGTTTAGACTGGTCATTAGGAAATAATTTTTCACAGAGAGAGTGGTCGGGCATTGGAACAGGCTGCCCAAGGAGGTGGTTGAGCCGCCATCCCTGGACGTGTTTAAGAGTTGTTTAGATGTGGTGTTGGGGGATATGGTGCAGGGGAGAACTTTGTGGAGTAGGGTTGATGGTTGGACTCAATGATCCCAAGGGTCTCTTCCAACCTAGACGATTCTATGATTCTATGAAATAAAGAGACCACTCCAAAGATGAAGGAAAATCTTTGTCTTTTCTAAAATTTGCATCCTTTTATACATTAAGCTTTCATGAATTCCCTTCTCATCTTTTCCAGGCCACTAAAGATTTTATACACCCTTAGATTTCTCACTTCCATGGTGAACAGCTGTAGTTATTTTAACATTTTCTCATATGGATGTTGATGATCCTGTCATTCTTATCTTTTCTAGTTTGACTATGACTTCTTAGAGATATAGGCATAATAGTTTTGTACTATGTTCCAAGAAAGTTTTTTTATCCTGTTCTGTATTTTTTTAAAGAACATATCCTTCTATAATCACCTTTAAGCACTGGATTGTCTTTACTGAACGCTGTGTGCCAAAAAACATGCAATGTACATATAAATTCAGTTTACTACATAAATCAATTTTCAGATTGCTTTAACTGTCTTTACATATCAAAACTAATTCGTATTTAATTTTTAGCAGGAGAAAGCTTTATGAATGCCTGAAACATCTTTATTTTTCTCCCTTGATCCTATTCTGTTTAAGAATGTGAAGCTGTCACAGTACCTGTATTTTATGCAGACAAAGCTCTGTCTACAGGCACAAAATACGTCATCTTATGCTGCTGAAGAGATTTTATCCTGGGTAACACAACTGTCTGACAGTATTTAATTCTTGCATTTCTTGAACAGTTTATCAATTATTTTAGTGTACATTGTAGTAAGAAAGTCATTACTGCTTTCATTCACCTCCTCCTCATTTAAGCCTGTTTTTCAGGAAAACTTTCAGTACATTGTGTCCAGAATGGCACTTGCAACTGTCTTTGTAGCTGCAAAGGTGCCAAAAACGTAAGCAAGGTACAGGCCTTATCAAATTTTAAAGGCTTATAGCTCTAAGCAGAACTTTTGATATAAACTACACTATACAAGAACATTTGTTTTTACAAATATCAATTTCATCACCTTATCAAATTTTATACATAAATACCTAAATTTTATATATAAATACATATGAAAAATTTGTTTATATGACTTTATGTTTTGCAATATTTTTTGTAAGACTACAAAAGTTAAACAGACACATCATGCTTTACAGAAATCTAGTTAGCTTGAAAGCCTTCTAAAAGGGAAAAATGTGTGCGCTACCTAAACACTTTCAGCACACAATCATTTACCAGTAAATGTGATTTACATTTATTTAAAGCCCAATGCTGTCTTGTGTGTTGAAGTAAAAGAATTGTTATAGAAATCGCATACAGGAGTAATTTAAAAGAAAAGGCAAACAGGAAATATATAGGTTTAATGATCAATATATACTTGTTTAAATGTTATTTAGTTCACTTGACAACTTACTTTGCCCAGTAATTCTCCCAGTGTGACATCTTCATGATTGAGAACCCATTTCTTATCCTATTGAAAGAAAAAGAAAGAGAAAGAAAAATTCTGTGCAAATATGTAAGGTAAAGTTTCTGTAAGATATATTTCAGTAGAAACTGAGCTAAAGAAGCATTCTATTCAGACGACTCAATCAAAACCATGCCAGGGAGTTTTACATCTAAGTGTTTACAAAACAGAGAGTAGAAAACTTGCTCCATAGTAAAATATTGAAATATACCATATAGCAAATTTCCATCAGAAGGTTAAGCCTACAACATGACAGTATGTATGTAGATAGATCACTACGCAAATTTCCACACAAACTATGGAAATTCTATCTCGCACCCTGTTTTTAAGAATTACTGGAGTCAAAATCAGATAAGAAAAAATCCTTTTAGTATAAGAAATAACATATTGCTAGGTCAAAACCCCATTTTTCTCCTCAGTGCACATGGAAAATAACTGATTCTTCTACTTATTAACAAGACACATACTTGCATCTCTTAAGTCTTCTGTGGTAGTTTGAAATATTACAGGCAACTAATTGGAAAGACAACATAACAAATGCCAGTTAAAGCGTGTGTTTAGTGTTGATGATCGACACTGCAAAGACTATGCAATAGTATAAAGACACACAAAAAACAACTATAAACTTCTTGACACACAGACATAGTTAATAAATACTTAGCTAAAATATTAGAGTAGGATATTTTAAGTCTAACCCATATTTACTATTTTTCCATTTTATTTCTCCATTAGCACCACATCTACTTATCACCTCACAAACACTATTACTGCTCCTCATGTTAGCGCTAAGTTCCTAAGCATTCTTTATCACTAATGAAAAATGGAAACATCTAAGCAAACATATGCCAACTGCGCTCAGTGACAGGACAAGAAGAAATGGGCACAAATTAGAAAACAGGAAATTTGTTCTGAACATGAGAAAACACATTCTTAGTGTGATGGTTGTCAGATACCCAGAACAGGTTATCTAGGGAGAGTCATTCTGATATGGAGTCTATGGAGACATTCAAAACCCAACTGGACACAGTCCTGGGAAACTCACAGTGGTTGAACCAGCCTGAGTAGGAGGGTTGGACTACAGAATTTCAAGAATCTTTCCAACCTAAATGCTCCTGTGATTCAAACACAAAGAAAAACCTTCGTATGTAAACAGACCACAGAATCACCAAATGGCTTGGGTTGGAAGGGACATTTAATAATCATAACTCTCCTGCCATCTCTCCTGCAGGGGTATCTTTCACTAGATCAGGTTGCTCAAAGCTTCATCCAACCTGACCTTGAACACTTCCAGGTACGGGGCATCCACAACTTCTTTGGGCCACCTGGGTAATCAGCACTACTTCCTTTGACCTACACAACCAGTAAAGTCTACTCCTAAGGAAGATGGAGGCTTGTACTGACTTATGTCTCCCTCTTTTTGCAAGGAGAAAACCATTCAGCAGATATCCAGAGGAGTTCTCAGTAAGGGAAAGAATGAAAGGAGTACAGAAGAATGATGCTGCACAGTGTGCCTTGCAGGGAAAGTAGCTACTCACTACTATCCTCCACATTTTTTGACTGACATGAATTCATCAGAGAAAAAAAACAAAAAAAAGGTATGAGAAGAGTTCATTGCCATTGCGTTTTCTATGCTTTTTTTTTTCCTTACATATAATGTCACAAAATCACACAGACCAATGCTCCTGTAAGCTGTGCTCAATGCACAGTCTAGAGACTTTCTGAATGCCTCTCTTCACCCAAACTTCCAGCATGCAACTCCTGTCAGCCCCATCATATGAACTCCTGCACCACACCACCACGCTGTGTGACGGGATCCATGCTTTGCCATTCCTCTTCCCTGAGTGGGGCACTGGGAGACTTGCAAAGAAATTCTCAATAACCACCATTTATTTTTTCTCATATAGACAAGATTCTTGATTAAAACTAATGCCTCAGTAATCAGACATGATAAGTAATGTAATTTCCTTCACCTCATCCTTTTGATTTTGCTAAAAATCATAACTTTTCTGTTCACTTAAGATTTTCTAGATATTTGTTGCTGATTGGTTGACTCATTTAGAAGCTGTTAAACTACAACCACATAGGAAATGCCATCAAACTGCACCCTTTTCTTTCCTATTAAAACTCAAGTTTAAGAAAACAATTTGCAAAGAAAGCTGTAAAGAAAAAATCCACAAAAATTACTACCTGGGGTATTAACATAATGTTTTTTAACATTGAAATAAGAACTGTAAAATCCAAAACATTAAAGAATAAAAATTTAATGTATTTTTATCACTTAATTCCAAGGATTCAGTACTTCAGTAAATGACTTTTTGAAAATATTGACAACATGGCATTTCAAAGGCTTGTTTATGAAGAAAAAATCTGATGCATAATCCTTCAGAGGACTAATTAAAAAAAATGGCACCATAAACTGGAATCAAATGATCTGTTGAAGGATTTGTTATTACTGTATCAGTACATTAATCACTACCTGTACTTTTCTTTTTATGAAAACTTTCTGTCATTTATTATACCAGTGTAACCCATTCATTACATTATCAGGGTTCTGCCAGTTTGATTGGGTCTGTTACTGAAGTTCTTATTGCTGGTTTAGAAAAGGTATCTTTATCTATAAGCATATGCAAATTGTGCTGCCCTGCTAGTATCAGTTTCACAAGGTATCAATAAGTCAATATTCATCTCAATGGTATATAAATTGAGTTTGCTGCTTATGAGAGCTTCCTATGAATGGAAATCTTCAATAATCATAAAATCATAAAATGGTTAGTGTTGAAAGGGACCTTAAAGGTCATCTAGCTCCAACCCCCCTGCCATGGGCAGGGACACTTTTCACTAGACCAGGTTGCTGAAAGCCCCATCCAGCCTGGCCTTGAACACTTCCAGGGATGGGGCATCCACAGCTTCTCTGGGCAACCTGTTCCAGTGTCTCACCACCCTCACAGTAAAGAATTTCTTTCTAATATCTGATCTAAATCTACCCTCTTTCAGCTTAAAACCATTACTCCTCGTCCTATTGCCCCGCTCCCTGATGAAGAGTCTCTCCCCATCTTCTCTGTAGGCCCCCTTCAAGTACTGAAAGGCTGCTATAAGAAATCCCTGGCACCTTCTCTTCTCAGGCATGAACAACACAAACTCTATCAGCCTGTCTTCAAAGGAGAGGTGCTCCAGCCCTCTGATCATCTCCATGGGCCTCCTCTGGACTCCCTCCAACAGGTCCATCTCCTTCTTATGCTGCAGCTCCAGAGCTGGATGCAGTACTCCAGCTGAGGTCTCATGAGAGCAGAGTAGAGGGGCAGAATCACCTCCCGTGACCTGCTGGCCACATATTAAACTTAGGAGACTCATCAGATGTGTCACTCCTGCGGATATGTGGCTGAGCCAGGAGACTGAAAAGGAGGCAGGTGCTGCTTCAATGATCCTTTCTGCTCCCAGCTGGAATCTCTTCAGAACTGTTCTTTTACTACTAATCAGGCACCACCTGCACAGACCTCAAAAGCAGACAGCTGAAAAAATTATGCAACCCTTGGCATATTGCACTCATTTTGATCCCACTTCTCATCATTCATTTAGTCTTTTAATTTGCGTATTTACAATGGAACCCAACACCAGGAATATTTACCACATGATCCAGGTGAGATTAACAGAACAAAAACTGTAACCCAGCACTTCTATCTATGTAATTTCTTGTCCCTCACTCATAACTTTTCTGTTATGCTCCTCCCTCCTGGTTTCTCTCTCTCAGGTTTAGTGAAAGCCCTAAGGACTATGAAAACAGTAATTTTTTCCCACTAGGAAGTATCAAAATACAACTCTCCTCCCCTCCTTCCACAGCCTCTTAAACAGCCTTCACTTTGTATGAGTGTTACCATTGAGCTTCTGGATAAAAAGATGCCAGCCTTCATACTAAATCCTATTCCTCTATGTGAAAAGTAAACTAATTCACTTGAGATTACTTTTTGAAAGAGGACAAGAAGCTCAGGTGCTACAGGACACATTTAACATGTAAACCCTAAGCAGGGAGAAGTGCCTAAGCCCTAACATCACCTAAGCCTGTAATTTTCTCCTAAGATTGCAATTTCCTCCTAAGGTACATGACTTCTCATGCGCTGAGAAGCCGGAAATGCAACACTGCATTCCATTATGGTAGTGAAGCACTTCCAACTATAGTCCCTAAGTCCACTTGTGAATTTAACTCTGAAGATGTAGGTGGTCGCCCAGTCCAACAGCACTAGTCAAGTTGAAGAAAGCATTTCAAGTAGAAACACAAAGTTAAAAAAGGCTGTAACTTCACATGCATTACAGTTTTCTTAAAAACAGAGAATCATAGAATAATTTGGGTTGGAAGAGATCTTTAAAGATGATCTAGTTGAATCACCCTGCAATGAGCAGGGACATCTCCAACTAGATCAGGTGGCTCAGAGCCCCGTCCAGGCTGACCCTGAATGTTTCCAGGGATGGAGCATCTACTGCCTCTCTGGGAAACCTGTGCCAGTGGTTCGCCACCTTCATCGTAAAAAAATTCTTCCTTATACCAAATCTAAACCTATCCTCTTTTAGGTTAAACCCATTACCCCTTGTCCTGTCACAACTGTCTCCGCTAAAAAGTTTGTCCCCATCTTTCTTACAAGCTCCCTCTTAAGTATCGAAAGGCCACAATAACGTCTCCCCAGAGCCTTCTCTTCTCCAGGCCGAACAACCCCAAATCTCTCAGCCTGCCTTCATAGGAGAGGTGCTCCAGACCTCTAATTGCTTTTGTGGCCGTCCTCCGGACTCACTCCAACAGGTCCCTGTTCTTCTTATGCTGCGGGTCTGATAACTGGACACAGTATTCCAGGTGGGATCACACCTGAGCAGAGCAAAGGGACTGAATCACCTCCCTTGACCTGCTGGCCACTCTTCTTTTGATGCAGCCCTGCATATGGTTGGCTTTCTGGGCTACAAGAGCAAAGAAGGATGTTGTCCTGTCCCTTAGCATATCAACTGCACTCCTCAGCTTGGCA